CCCCCCCCCCCCCCCCACAGTGGGGGGCAGTGGGGAGTACCCCCCTGCTTGGTAGCAGCTGGTGAACAAGGGCTTTCTTTTAAGAGCTCCTGATTCAATTCAGATTTGGAGGTTCAGCTGTCGAATTGGGCCGAATCTCCTCCAAATCAAATCTGCACCTGAAGCTTCGCACAGGCCTATTAATCACCATAGACGTATTCTTTCTTCACACATTGGAGTCTCTCAAGTAATCTAGGTGGAATTTATGGAGTGGGTTGAATGGGGTGAGGTGAGCCAATGTAGTCCTAGGAAGGCTTCTTTAGTATCTTTTGTATCAGCACATAGCCAGGTGCTTCCCAAGCCTCTACATCCCATGGGGAAGTTCTTGGGACCTTTCTGCTTGTTTAACGTTTAGATGGTCCTCTAGAGTCTCAGCTGGAGAGCTGCTTAACAAGTTTTGGTGAGCTGTTGAGTACTGCAAGACTGGCTGAGCTCCGCCCCCTGGTCACCATTTTGGGACTAGAAATCCTGCTCCCTGATTCTTGACCTTTGCCACCAGAAGTCCCTCCCCTGGCTCCCAGAAGTACTCCTTTTGGGAAGGGGGTTTGCCATCTTGCAACTGGAAAATAAAACAAATTGTATACTAAACATCAAACATCCTCAATAACACTTTAATTTTATTTAACAAAAATATTGTTAAATGTCCTGATTTATGTGTATTTGCGTTGTGTGTGTATATAGAGGTGATTACATAATAGCTCAAAATGAAGTCTTAGTCTTGCATATTGAGGGATGTGGTGGGGTATGGGTGGGGGGGGTTGTGAAGGCCGGTGGGTGATGGGGGGGGTGGGTTGCGGGGGGGGTTGTAGAGGGGTGCGGGGGATGGTGTGGGTGGGTGCGGTGTTCGTGGGGTGTGTGGGGGAGGGTGTGGTTGCGGGGTTTGTGTAGGAAGTTTTTTGGGTATGGTGGGGTGTACATGGGAGCCCCCTGCATGTGCCCCCTGAGGCAGTCAGCACCCGCCCCCACCCCACAACAGTCCAGAGCCTGCGCACCTTGCGGTACCTCCCTGCCACCTTCAGCTGTACGTAGCCTCAGCATGCCCTGTGCCCGCTCTGCGCTGCCCTCCCATGGCACATCCTGCCACCCCTGGGCATGCAGTGGGGCTGAGATGGCTCCGCAGCAGGACTGCCTCGCTAGGCAGCCCAGGTGGCAGCAGCTCTTTCTGGCTGCCACTGGCCCCATCCCCGTGGTACCAGTGGGGGCTTGCATGCAGCCCCACCCCTCACCTGTTCCAGACTTGCCTGCCCAGATTCAGCAATGGTGGCAGTGGCTGGGCCCAAATCCTTGCAAAGTGTTGGGGGGCGGGGAAGCAGCCCTTCCCCTTCCCCCTTTCCACTGCCAGCACTTCCTGGTGCAGCTAGCAGAGCTTGTGTTGTGCCAGACTGCCCTGTGTCTCCAGCACTGTCACCGCTGCCTCCAAGTCACCCAGTGGGGCAGCAGTGGCAGTACAGAGCAGATGCAGGGCAGTGGCAAGGGGGAAGGACCACTTTTGCCCCGTGTGAGCTACAGTTTCTGCCCAGTCCTTGTTGCCTCTGCTGAGCCTGGGTAGGTGAGTCTAGAGCAGGCGTGGGGTATGCCAGATCAGGGCTGTGGCACAGGTCCCTACTGGTACCACAGGGCTAGGACCAGCAGTGGTGGCAAGCAGAAGGAGCTGCCCCTGCTAGGCTGCCTAGAAAGGCAGTCCTGCCACGGAGCTGCCCCAGCCCCACTGTCTGGGACGGCAGGACATGCCACAGCCAGGCAGTGTCTGGGCTAGGTGGGACTGAGGGGTGTGCCATGGGTTGGACAAATCCCCTCCACAGGCTGGATTTTGCCCACCCCTGAGCTAGGCCATGCTGTGCCATTTACTGTACAATATTGGTCCTTTATCCCCAGGAAAGCTCATGCTGTTCGCATCAGTAAAGGGGCTTTCTGTCCTACTTGCTTGCCACGGTGGCCCCGGAAGAGTGGTGTTGTCAGTCTACTCGCTCCTCTTGTCCTAATTGGCCACCATCTACTGTCTTAATATTCAGTCCCCCAACGTACATTACATCGTACCCATCCAGTAATTAAAGTGTTCTTGTGCTGTCACCAAGCTCTTTCCACAGAAGCTTAGGTAACATGCTGATTGATATTAGGTCCTGCTCAGTTTCCCATTTCAGACCTACTAAGGAGAACTGGATGGGGGCTACAGATTTCCTGGGTTTGAGTACTGAAGTGTCTGTGACTGGCACTCTGGGAAAGTGTGGGTATCTGGTAGGTTGACGGCATGGGGGGAGAGGGGAGGGGAAAGGAAGACATGGCATCTGTGTACTTTGGTTGAAAAATGTCATAGTCTGCCATTGGCTGGGTGTAGACAAGGAAGCACAGTGGGCAGGGCAGAAGAGCAGGCTTCACCAGAAACTGGTTCTGTTCCCATCTTCACTGATGCTGGTAAGTCTCATTCCACTCTGTCTGCATTGCCACAATTGTACAATGGGGATAATGATAGTGACCTGATCAGCTTTTTGCAAAACACTTTGAGGTCTCTGGGTACAGAGTATGACAGAAGTGCAAAATATTACTTTTTATTTGTTGTACGACACTAAGTATTACTACTGCTCTACTGACTGAACATAATATGTAGGGCCAGACCCCTGGCTATGGGATGAGCTATCAAATACTTGACTGGCACTATGGGGAATCTGGTAGATTGGTAGGCATGTAAGCTGTAATATATCGTGTAGCTCATTCCCTCACCTTCATTTCTTTTCCTCTGTCCCTAGTAAAAACATTTTATTTTGGAAAGCTGAGTGGATAAAACAAATCTATTTCCAAGCCTCTTCCTTAGGGCGTTCAGTTTTGTCTCGGATTGGAAACTTCTTTGTTCAAAGATGACATTATTGTATCGAC